AATAAATTTCATTTCCCTAATTGCCAGGCTTTTTATCCTTTTTAATCTCCAAAGGCTAGGATTTATACTGGATTTCTTATGTGTTATTTATCATATCGAAAACACCTGCCACATATGTGATACTGTTTTAGGTATTAAGAATACAGAGTTAAGTAAGACCAGGCCCCAATATCATAAGGCCTTCATTCCTTTAATAGGAGAAACAGATATTCACCAAGAATGTGAATACAAATTAGATAATTTAGGAGAGTGGGCAGTGTACTGAAGAAAATAATGCAGATGAACATAATAGTATGTGTAGATAATTGTTATGAAAAAATTTGACTTAAAACACTTAATACGATAGTATGGCAGGATAGAGAAGGGGAAAGAAACAAATAAGGATGCATAAATTGTACTTCTATCAAACTGTATGGGATAGTTCATTCATTTATTAAAAATGTGTAGTGTGCAGCTAGAATGTGCCTGAACTATTATAATCACTGGTAAATAAAACATGGTACAAACTTGAGTAGCTCACACGGTGGGGAGACTTAAGATCACATAAGGCTTCATGAAAATTTCTGTAAAGGCATAAAATGACTATGAATGAAGACCTATTGTGCATAAGGAAGCAAGCAGCAATTAGTGAGTTTTGAAAAATCTGACGAACAAAGTGTTTGTCATGCTAGACCTTAAACAACTTAATGCTTAGTACTCTACCTTCCTTTCTGATTTATAGACATTCCCTCACTTCAACAATTTCATACTCATGGAAATTTTAATGTATTTTTTTTTCCTTTTTCACTGCTTTCCTGGCCACATGGTTGGTCTCCAGACACACTTGTGACCCACACTACACTTACGTCACAACTGCTTAGTTCCAGGATGGACATCTAGCCAAATCTGACCCTCTTTAGTAAGAATACTAAATTTGAGATTAAAGATAATAATACTGTGTTTCCTTCAATGACAAGGCCGACAAGTATTCATCAAAAGGCTTCTGAGAGCTTTATTTACAAATGCAAACAGGCTGTCATTCTGAAAGAATGAAAGGCACGTGAAGAGAGAAACAGATATTCGATAGGGAAAGAACCAGGTTTTTCAAAGATTCTGCTCATCCCTAACATTTAGTTTAATTCCTAAACTTCCATTGGTTTGATTTTTTGAACTTACATTTTTCTTCTCTGGTTCTCATTAGGATTGTGTTGTTTAAAGCCAAAACACGTCCACATTGATGAAAAGGGAAAGGGGTCATTCCAGGGAAAATAAGCTTTGACTTTATGGTTTGCCTATTACTCCTTCAACATTTTGTTTCATCGAAACTCATCCTGCTTTTCTTTTTATTCTTCTCAGAGACATTTTTCCCAAATCACCATTTCCACAGGAAAAGTCTTAGCGTTAAATTTATTTCTTAGGAAAAAAAAGAAATGCTGGATTTCAACAAGAAAAGCAACACCAAGCCCTACAAAACAATTTTACGACATTGATTGGAAAGGAAAGGAAAATAAAGTACTGGCAAGAATGGTCAATTATATAGACATCAGTCTTGTACAAAGGTGGGTGTGGTAGGTTAGGATGAGAAAACACGTTTCATTTACATCACAGTTAATATGAAGTGATAATATTAATCTTTGTAACCAATTGTAACTTACAGAACTTGAAAATCAAGGATCAGTTTACATGTGATGAGAGTAAAAGACAACACTATTTTATGTTTTGATTTTTTGTTTTTTACTAGACACAAAGAACAGTCATGACTCACCCAGAATGAGTACAGTATTATTCTCAGTTGAATTCAAATTCAAATTGAGTGCACTACCATTACGCCAATATTCCCTCATTTTAATTTTATTGGTTTCTGACTGCATGAAAAATGTTATCTATTTTGTCTTGAACAATGGATTTTAAATACAAAAATTATTTAAAAAAACAAACCAAAAAAAGTAGACGGAAGCTGCTGGGAGGTAGTGCAAAGGCATTACATTCATGCATCACAAAGAAAGTATGTGGTTTAAAAAAAATAACTGAATACAACATGCACTGTTTAGAGCTGCATGATATTCCATATTAGACTACAAATCCATGCTACAGGGAAAGCCTTGTTTTAGCCAACGGGACAGAAATTTGAAAATTAAAGCACTGATGGCAGGAAAAGAATTATAAGCAAATAGATTAGAAGACATTTGAAGTATTTATAATTGCATTGAATATTTAGAAATTTTATTTACATAACTTGTACTGATACCTATGCACTTTCTTTGTATTTTTGCACTAAGATTTTTGAAGAGGGAGCTTTAATACGTAAATATTATAAAATCTAATAAACTAAAACTGTCATGATTTAATATTGCTACCTTTAGATAATGTAATTATTCCATGACACATTAAACAGATGAAAAAAAGGGGCTCCTGGGTGGCTCTGTCAATTAAGTGTCTGACCCTTGATTTTGGCTCAGGTCATGATCTCACAGTTCTTGAGTTTGAGCTCCACAGCAGGCTCTGTGCTGACAGTGTGGAGCCTGCTTGGGGTTCTCTCTCTCTCCCTCTTTCTCTCTTTCTCTCTCTGCCCCTCCCCCACTCATCATCATCATCATCATCTCTCTCTCTCAAAATAAATAAACATTAAAAAAAACAAATGAGAAAGTAATTGCCTATAGAACATGAATTGTTCAAAAGTCTTTGTCACTGAGACATTTTCATAGTTGTCTACAATGAATACAGAAACAAATATAATAATTTTGAAAATCTCGAATACAAAGAAATACAACTAAAGTCTGCAGTCAGTAATTAGTAATAAAAGATAAGTGAGAAATACTTAAAGGAGTTTAGACACACAGAGGAAATGTTTCAGAATGGACAGATGACACAAAAAGTGTGAAATCCAAAGTAAGCACCCTTCATCTTAGCAATACCGGGGGAAATCAGAACACAGTGCCACCAAGTATATCTCTCAATAATTTATGTCAGGTATGTTTCAGATGTCCAAATGACCAGAATGGTGGTATAATGTGTTTATTGTGCTGCCGGTTGTATTGATTCCACAACCTGTTTCCCATCAATACACTACACCTGGAGGATTATTTGGTTTGGGGAAAGCCTTTTTTTTCCCCCTGTTGATGCTTAAATTTTTTTTTAAGATGAAGCAGACACATAGTTATGAGAAAATCAGTAGAAATAATTATGAGATAAAGATAACATATGGACTCAAATTCACAGAATTACTCAGTTTACACCTTTCAACAAAGAAGTTGGGGAGGGCTTAATTATACATGAAAGTTATATACTAATCTCAGACTACTTTATGAGCGTAAGATCAAATAGACCTCAAAACAGAGGATAGATGTAGATATAGATAGATAGATCTTCGCGCAGGTTTTCTTTGTTATAAATATTAAAGCTCAGATATCCTAGAATATATTCTCGAAAATGACAAAACGATGATGCACCTGGGTGGTTCAGTCGATTGAGTGTCCGAATTTGGCTCAGGTCACGATCTCACAGTTGGTGAGTTCGAGTCCCACATTGGGCTCTGTGCTGACAACTCAGAGCCTGCAGCCTACTTTGGATTCTGTGTGTGTCTCTCTTTCTGCCCCTCCCCCTCATGTTCTCTCTCTCTCTCTGTCTCTCTCTCAAAAGTAAATAAACACTAATTTTTTTTTAATGACAAAATGAAAAATATCAGGTTTCTATGAAACTTGATCACTGTTTAGGTGGTCTAAATTACTACCCTGCATCCCAAATGCACTCGTGCATGAATTAATTATTCCATTCAACCAGTAATCATTCTAAAATGAAACTGGAATAAAAGAAAACAAAGCAGTTAAAACACAAGGTCTCATTAAAAAAATGTTCTTAAATATTTATTTATTTTGAGAGAGAGAGACAGAGAGAGTGAGCCAAGGAGGGGCAGAAAGAGGAGAGAGAATCCCAAGCAGGCTCCACACCATCAGTGCAGAGCCAGCTGCAGGGCTCAAACTCACAACCATGATGAGATCAGGACCTGAGCCAAAACCAAAAGTTGGACACTTAGCTGACTGAGCCACCCAGGCACCCCGCAATGTCTCATTTAAAGTAGAACAACAAAAAAGAAATGAAGTTGTGTGAGTAGTCTAATATTAAACAAAATTTTTAAAACAGTATTTAGGGGCCACCTGGGTGGCTCAGTTGGTTGAGTGTCGAACTCTTGATTTTGGCTCAGATCATGATCTCAGGGTCCAGCTGAGCTTGGAGCCTGCTTAAGATTCTCTCTCTCTCCTTCTGTCCCTCTCTTCCATTCATGTGCTCTCTCTCTAAAAATAAAAAGAATAATAAAATCTAAACATTTAAACAAATAAAATAGTTTTAATAAAATGTTCTTTCTGGCAGTTTTTATTAACTTTTTGACCCATTTGCAAATTGTTGTTTGTTTATTCATTTTTCTATAGTGGCATTTAAAAAGTTCATCATAGGGCACCTGAGTGGCTCAGTTGGTTAAGCATCCAGTTCTTGGTTTCAGCTCAGGTCATGATCTCATGGTTTGTGAGTTCCAGTCCCGCACCGGGCTCTATGCTGACAACACAGTCTGCTTGGGATTCTCTCTCTCCCTCTCTCTCTTCCCCTCCCCTGTTCACTCTCTCTGTCCCTCTCTCAAAATAAATCAATAAACTTAAAAAATTAAAAAAAAAAAGAAAGTCCAATATAAGTTGCTTATGGTTTATGCTCACATGTAAAACAGAAGTGCAATAAAGTTGACAGTCAGAAATGAAAAAAAAAAAAAAAGAAAAAAAGAAAAAGAAATGTAGAGAAGGAGTAGAAAGGCTGATTGTCCTATGAGTTTGAAGAGCAGTTACAGTGGAATAAATGAGTGAGGTGGCTGGAAATAATTTAAGGTGAAGTCAGGCAGTAAAGTGGCTGAATTTATGACTACATAACAATGCAATTCTGGGTGTTGGTGAAGTCCCCAGTGATGTTATGGGGATGAGTGGTAGATACCTCAGTGGTAAAGGTCACTGGAAACTTACAAAGATAGAATGCTAAAGGAAAAAAAAAATGACAGTAATAGAAATATGATAAATCTAATTTTTTCATTTTACAATTCTAGCATATATTTCAGTAAAATTTCATCCCCAGACTCTTTAAATAGTCAACGTCTGCTATATGCCAGGAATTGAGCTAAGTTCTTTACACACATCACTTCGTCTAATCCTCAAAAATATCACATATAAAGACATATCACTGTTACCTTCGGCTTATGGATGAGAAAACTGTGGATCTGAAAATGTGAGTAATTCTGTCCAAGTTGCACAGATGTAAGTGATGAAACAGAGTTCAAAGCCAGACAATCAGATTCCAGGCACTATATTGTTAAGCATGATTGCATTATACTAGTATATAAAAATAAAATCAGAAGGAAGGGCTTTTATTGAATATCAACAGCAGAAATACCAATTGTATTTAAGTACAAAAGGAATATTTTCCTGGAGTGTTTATTCAATTTTGGCCATTGCAGATCCATTAGCAAACCTAATTATATCTAAGAACATTTTCTAAAGAAAATGCACATACATATATGTTTAAAAACTGGTTTGTATAGTCCCTTTGAAAGACTACAAAATGACAAATATGAAACATTCATTAAAATGATAGGCACATAGAAAAGATACACAATTTAAAACATTTGGGCAAAATACTTTATACTTCATGAAACGTGGGGAGATTTTATCTACGAAACTGGTTACATTTTCTGTAGTCACTTTGGGCTTTAAGGATTTTAAAATATAGTTGTGATCAGAATTAATGAACTCCAGTTGACAGAGTCATCCATTGCATTATGATATTCTTTTATGTGAGACATGAAAATTCTAAACATCCTGTACTCTACTAAGGTTCTGTCTGGCAGGGGATTACCATTGAGACACCTTTATGAGTTGTTTGAAAATTTCTTTGCAAAGGTCAGCTCCCCACAGGATTGATATTGGTAATTGGCTCAAAAGCAAACCACTTCTCCAAAATGTGCCACTTTCTGTCTGATTAGAACTTAGAGGCCAAAACAAAAGAAGGTTTTAAGTGATCTTTGTTTCTAAAACAGACTTGTTCAGAGTCAGTTTCAAGGGCACATGAATCCATATTCCTCAGCATATTGTTCTGAAAATTCTGTGGCGAGGCAGAGTTCTTACCTTGTGAGAATTATAGATTTCTTTTTAAGTTAAAATTGGCATTTTTAGAGCTTATCATTTGCTTCCCTCTGGCAGCTGCCATATTGCTATGAACATTACTGTGTCTGCCATCATTTGTGACATACTCTGTAGGAGGCCTGTCAGGAAATTTTGGTCTCAGACTCTACCGTAATGCAGGTTTAACAATCAGAAGAATCCTACACTTTAATAAAACATTAAACGCATTCTTGGCAGCATGAGGATGGAAGCAAGACAGTGGTAAACTCTGAGCTGTGTGTGGCATTCTAAGAGAATCAAAATGAGAGCACTTCCCTGATTTTATAGTTCCAGACATGGTCAAATCATTCTGGACCTGGCTTGTGAAAATATATATTTACTATATGACCAAAATGGTAAAAGTATTTAAAATAAGCCATACATGAAAATTATAAGAATAGTTCAATTCTACTGTCATTGTTTCCAGAAGAATCACAGAAAGGAAATAATGTCAATATGTTTCTTCTTCCTCCTTTGTATCCCATAAATTATATGATATTTCATGCCAATTAGTACATTCTTACCTTATCTTCAAACGGTTACTGGGGAAACCATACGAAGAAAAGAAGATAGACTGAAAAATAAGAGTGAAGAAACCAAGCCTGAATCAGAAGGATATAAATTGACCACTCGTGCACTATTGCTATTAGTTGTGTAGAACAGAACCCAGAGACCATGAAAACTACAACTAAACTAGTTTTTAAAACTTAAACTGATCAAATGTGTTTATTCAGTTTTAAGCAAATGATGGGAATAAAACAACAATATAGCCCAAGTGCCTCCCTTAGACATTTACAAATTCCTAGTATACCAATCAGGCTGTATGGAACGACCATCTGGGATTATAATTTGAAGTGATTATTGTACTTCAGAGTGACTATAATTATCAAAAATCTAATCATTGATACTGACCCTATATTATGCCAGAAGTTGGTTACATGGTCTCATAGAAAAGGGTTATCCAATTTCCACAGATTTCCATGTGCTCATTCATGTATTTTTAAGACAGGTACTCTGAACTGAAAATATGAATTCTTTGGCTCTTATGTGGGTTATGGTATAAACATTGCCTGTATTGGTTTAGCCCATTAACTTCTGTTGTTCTATCTCTATTTTTAGCCTTTGATTATAATTTTTCTGACCAGGGAGCTCTCTTCTGTGTAGAAAAGATACTGATCTCATCATTCATATCATAGTCTCCTGGATGTTTTTTTTTTCCCTCGGTACAAATGACTAGATTATAATTCTGTCTGGATTATAATACCACTCTATGTGAAAATAGATAATATGATTCTTCTTCCTGAGAATCATTTGTAATTTCCACTTTTGGGGAAACAAAGAAAAGAAGAAAAATGTTCTCGTGTTTAGAAGCATAAAGTCAAATTCTTGCAATATGGTTAATTCAATAAAGTATTCTCCATTGTTGACAGGTGCATTGTCAGACAGACAGTCCATTAGGTCCGTCAGTACGTTATCTTTTCTTCATGACTCTCAGCTTTTGTGAACTAAACTAAGTCAATCTGGCCACTTACAATATTGATTTGGGGACATATTCATAGGCTTCAGAAATTAGACATGAGGGCTCTAATTCGCCTCCCCCACAATCTCTCTAAGTGGAGTACCAGATGAGAGCAAACCTCAGAATAAATTCTGCACCAGCAAGCAGGCAAAAACTGCCACACAATGTATTCTTGTGAGCTCAGCAAAGTGGCAGGCACTCCTAAGCACATGATTCAAGGCATAGGCCAAGGGTATTTTAGTAGCAAAAGCCAGCTAACTTTTAGTTGAAATCTCATTACAGAATTATCCATTAGAGGCCAAAAACAAAAAAAAAAAACAAAAACAAAAACAAAGAAAAAAAAAAGCAAAGGCTAAAGATTGTTATATTTTTGTTTATATGAGGGCAAATGTTCTTGAGCAATTTTTAGAGCCAATTCATATATGGAGAACAGCAAAGTTGAAGTATTTCTAACACTAATTTTTTAAAAAATCTTTATTTATTTTTAAGAGAGAGACAAAGACAGAGCGTGAGCAGGGGAGAGGAAGAAAGAGAGGGAGATTCAGAATCTGAAGCAGGCTCCAGGCTCTGAGCTGTCAACACAGAACCCTATGCAGGGCTCCAATTCAGTGAGATCATTACCTGAGCCGAAGTCAGGCACTTAACCGACAGAGCCACCCGGGCACCCCTCTAATACTTCTTATGCTGATACAGTCTTGCTGTCAACCCAGCAATCATGATAATAATGTTGACTATCATTTTGCTTGAGAAAAGATTAAGTTGTAAGATTTGCCTAAATTTTCATCTCTTCAGGCTTTTTGTGCACAACATCCACTAAGAAGTTGCAATCCAATAAAATTATGGTTCAGATCCAGGGAGGTAGGGGAAAAGCTTAAAAAATAAAAAAATAAAATTAAATTAAATTAAATTAAGTTAAATTAAAAAACACTCTGTGTTAGCACTGCCCAATATCCGAGTGTCAGTCTTCTGAAGCCACAAGAGAGGAAAATAGTTATAATCTTGCTAGCTGGTTACCTGTGTTTTGTTTCACATCAGTGGGTTGGCAAACTAGGAAAGGCATATCTTACAAGACAGTTACTTTTACCAGTCTTAGTGAAGTGGCAGATTACTGAGGGATGAGCTAAACTTGATGCTCATGGAAGCAGCTTAGGAGACAGTGGAACCCTCGGGATCAGCTGCATCTAGCTAGATAGGAAGACAGTGATTCCTAGAGCAAGCACGAAGTTGTTGATACCATTGCTAACTCCACAGAGCTAGCTAGCTTCATCAATGTCAGCCCTTAGGCAGAAAATTGTGAACTGATTTGAAACTTTAATATCCTTATTTAGCATGTCAGAGAAGAACACAGTGAATTTTTGATAAACCAATTACCACCCTCTAGCACAGGAAGATGTGTGGATACAGTAAAGTATTTTTCTTGCTTTTAGGGATAAATTCTGGGTTAGTGCTCCCGCAGCCAATCCTAGGAGACTAAAAGAGTTCTCTGATAAGGGTCCCCCATCTGCTCTTGCATCAGCCTGGCAAGGAACAGTCTAGTGGAAAGTCTATGCCATCATCCTCTTCATGCTGCCGTGACAACTTTATGGCTTTCATTCTTTCTGTTTTGCTTTTTGCTTCACTGGAAGGGGAAAAAAAAGTTTATAAAAGGATTGATGGAAAGAGGGCAAATTTTCTTCTTCCACAGATCATTCTCTCAAAGCTGTGGGACTTGCTTCAGCTTTTTTCCTTTTTGATAAATAAGGATCTTCAATCTTAGGCACTAGGACCTTGGATGCTGTTCGGCAAAACCTTCCACTTCCCTCTCTTAGGATCTTTTTGGCTGTCCCCGGTGATTCTCCCCTTCCTAAATTCATTTCCTATCCCATTTCCCTGCTTTGTTCTAGGCTGCTGCTACTACCCCAGTCTTAGCTTCCTAAAGTATTAATTAAAACAAAGCAAAAGAGAAGAGGTAAGGCGGTCTTTTCCGCAGTCCTGACTCTGCTTCTCTTCTATCATCCCCTCTCCCTCACTCTCACTCTCACTAACCTTCTTCCAGAAAGGAGCGGAAACTAAATAAAGGCATGCATTCTGAATCTCAATTGTTTAAGTAACAAGTAACAATTCTTAGAGTGTGTGTTTCTGGGTGTCTTAAATTGCCTCCCTGACATAGGTAGATTAAAGCCAGCACTTTACATTCACATTGGACTCTATACTGAAGCATTTCAGACTAAACTAGAGCAATATAACAATGTCATTACATGTCATTTTCAATTTTAAATACATAAATTATACACTAATATTGTATAATAATTTCTTGAAATTCATTTTAAATGCTTTATGAGTTG